TATCATTATTATTATTATTATTATCATTATTATTATTATTATTATTATTATTATTATTATTATTATTATTATTATTATTATTATTTCCATCATCATCATCATTATTGTTAGTATCATCATCATTACTAAGGATTTTACTACTACTACTTTCATCATTATTACTTCTTATCCCACTGATTCATCCCTAACCCCGTGAGAGTTTTTCCATACACGCGCGCACGCACACGTCCTCGTCTTTTGCAACGATTACTCACATGAGTCAGCATTCGTGAGTAAGATGACTACCCCCCCCCTCCCCCCGGCCCCCTTGCCATTGTGTCTCGGTTGAAGAGTCCTGTGACTCATCCGGACTTCCTGCCTTAGCTACGGATCAGCTGTTCTTTCAGTCCTTTTTATCTTTGAGGGATGGGGGCGGGGGGGGGGGGGGTGGAGCGACAATCTGTGAAGGAAAGTGGTGGTTCGTGTGTTATGCTTTCGTGTCTCGTTTTTTTTCTGTTTTTGTTCTTTTTAATTTAATTCACCCTCTTTTTTTTTCTTCTTCTTCTTCTACTATACTTTTTCGTCTTATACTTATTATCTCTCCTTTTCCTCCCGCTTCCCTTTTCTCCTCCTTCTTCTCCTTTTTCCTTTCTTCCTTCTCACCCCTCCTCTCCCCTTCCTCTTCCTCCTCCCTCCTCTCCCCTTCCTCCTTCACCTCCTTTCCCCTTCCTCCTTCCCTCCTTCCTTCCTCCTGCACCTCCTTTCCCCTTCCTCCTCTACCTCCTTTCCCCCTCCTCCTCCTCCTCTTCTCTCCTCCTCCTGCACCTCCTCCTACTCCTCCTCTTCTTCTCCCCTCCTCCGGTCGTTATCCGATGCTTAGTAACTAGTTACGAGTTTTTCCCTCCTCGAAGCGAACGGTAATGTAGCTCCGCGTCTCCTTTTTATGGGACGAGGAGGAAGGAAGTTTTCTTGCGCGTGCATGGGAAGTGTGTTACTAAGGTCGCAACTATTTCCTTGCTTCCTTCCTTCCGTTTCTTCCTTCCTTGCTTCCTTTTGTTTCTGTTCTTCCTTCCTTCTTTCCTTTTCTTTCTGTTCTTCCTTCCTTTTCTTTCTGTTCTCCTTCCCTTCCTTTTCTTCCTTCCTTGCTTCCTTTTCTTCTTTCCTCCCTTCTTTCCGTTCTTTTCTTCCTTATTCCATTTTTTTGCCCTTTTGTTGCTTTTATACTTCTTTTTTTGTTGTTTTATCTTCCTACCTCCGCTCCTTTCTTATTCCTTCCTTCCTTACCACTGCCCCCTTCTCTTTTAGTCTTACTCTTCTTGTTGTCCTTTCCTTCCCATTTCCTTCTTTCCGTCTTTTTACCCTTGCCGTGTTAAGTATTTCTTTCGTATTTTTGGACTAAATCGAATCAAATATGGATTTAGAGACTGATATGTAGTGAATGAAAGAAAGGAATATAGCAAGTCATAATGCATTTAATACTGATAAACATAATGATGATGATGATGATAGTGATAACGACGGCGACGATAATCTTATTACCACTAATTCCAAATTCGTTACGTCACGCTTCCACCCTCTCATCCCTTTTATCACTCTCTCTTGTGTCTCTCTTCTTATTCTCCGCTTTTCTTCCATATTCTCATCACTTTTATTACCATTTCTTGTGTCTTTCTTCTTATTCCCCGTCTTCCTTCCATCTTCTCATCCCTTTTATCGCCATTTCTTTCTCTTTCTCCTTTTTTCTCCCATCCTCTCATCCCTTTTATCGCTATTTCTCTATTTTCTCTTCCCATTTTCCCTTTTCCTTCCCCATCCTCATCCCTTTTATCTTTCTCTACCCATTCCTCCCTTTTATCGTCACTTCTTTCTCTTTTTCTTCCCATTCCTCCCTTTCCCCCCATCCTCTCATCCCTTTTATCGCCACTTCTCTATCTTTCTCTTCCCATTCCTCCCTTTTATCGCCACTTCTTTCTCTTTCTCTACCCCATTCCTCCCTTTTCCCCTTAAACTGGAAGCGACAGCTAAATGACGCAGGTCACGACAGTCATGCAGAGGAATAGCGAAGTGTCAGCGGCAGTTGGCCCGCGAGTGTGATCCGCGGGTCGTGTCATAACGGCCGGCCAGACGACTGTCATTTGTCATCGGCCGTGTCTCTTGTTTCTGCTGCTGTTGGTGGGCGTGGGTGTCTTTTTTTTACGTTGTTTGTTTGTTGTTTTTCTTTTCAGTCGTTTGGATCTTGTTTGGTTTTTATTGTCTTTTTTGGGGAGTGGTTGTTTTTAGTTTTGCGTTTTTTGAAGATTGATTTATTGATTATTTTATTATTGTTATTGTTATTATTATTGTTGTATTTTATCATTATTATTATTATTATTATTATTATTATTATTATTATTATTGATTGGTCATTATTGTTATTACCATTATTATTGTTATTATTATTATGTGAATTGTTGTTTTATTGTCATCATTGTCATTATCATTTTGTGTGTGTGTTTGTATTTTACCGAGGATGCTTTAATTTTGTCGGACGGGGATATTAATCATCTAATATCAGACCGATAGAGTGACGACTCCTATGACCGAGAAACCGATCTTTCATTAAACCGACGAGACGGAGGTGTCGCCGAAGCCCGAGAGACTGAGATCGATTAATAGTCGGATCACGTTTTATCTCCCGAGTTGATCAATTAAGAGCGGAGAGAGAGGGTTAATCTGCTCCCTGCTCTCGCGACCTCGTCTCCAAGAGGTTTGGAGGGCTGGGGGGTGGAGGGTGGATGGGGGTGGGTGGGTAGGTCATTTATAATTACTCCTTCATCCTTCCTTATGCTTGTCTTTTCCTTTCTATCTTTCTTAAAATTGCTTAATCTCCTCCTTTCCTTTCTTCCTTTTCCTCCTTCCTCCCTTCCCCTTCCCTTCCTTCAATCCCTTCCTCCCTTCACTCCCTCCCCTTCACTCCCTCTTCCTTCCCTTCCTTCCCTTTCCACTCCTTCCCTTCTTCCTTTCCCTTCTTTCCTCCCTCTTCTCTCCGCCCCCCCCCCCCCTCCATCTCATGAATACTGCATGAGGCGAGATGAATGTGTAGCATATTTGCCGTGTCGAAATATCCCGAGGGCAAAATGGCGGACTTTCAGCATTTGAGGAATGAGGTAAAAATTTGTCTTGCCTTTTTTTTTTTCTTCTCTTTTTTTTCGTCTTTCCGTTTGGCTTTTATTTTTTTCGGTGATAGCTGGAGGGAAGGAAGTGTCCTTTGCTTATTTATTTGTTTATTTGTTATTGCGAACGGTGTCTCGGGAGTTTTGCAGAATGGTTGTTTGTTTGGGTAGAATAATCTAGGTTATTATGGCATCGGTGTACAACTGCCCCAAGATGCCCCAAGATGCCCCATGATCCCCCTATGCCTTTGTGGTATATGTGGCATCGTCGCTTTAGGAAACGGGGCATTCTGTTCATAAGTGGATATTCGTACCATAACGAAGGACGTGGCCGGTAGCTATGTACGACTTAATGGTGAGTAATGTTATGTAAATAGAGGAGTTGATTAAGCATCGTCATTTTTTTTTTTTTTTTTTTTTTTTTTTTTTTTTTTTTTTTTTTTTTGAGGGCATTGGAAATATATATTATTTTTTTTTGGTATGTAGTTAATCATTTTATTTGTTTCATATGAATTGATTATTTATTTGTGTGGTGTTAATATTTTTGTTAATGATGGTGCTTTGGTGGGAGATACTTACTCGCTTGTATATGATCCAAATTGATTTTGGAAAAAAAAATATGTAAAAGGTAGAATTGCAGATAAGTGAAACAGATATGTAAAAGTAAATATTGTAGAAAATGAAAAATATGTAAAACGTAGAATTGCAGCTAATTTAGAAATATGTAAAAAATATGTAAAACGAGAATTGCAGTAAGTGATGAAAATATGTAAAAGGTAGAATTGCAGGTAAATGAAACGTTTGTTTGAGCGAAGCAAGTTTATCCAGTTTATGTTTACATCCGTTGCACCCTGAATTTATGATTTACAACTGACAGCCGCACGTTTCCGCGCCGTCGGCATAAAAGAGCATTCAATAGCGGCCTTTTTTCCGCGGCGAATCATGGCGTCCCACATGCACCGGAATGCACAGTTGCAGCGGGTAGAGCAGGTCACCGGAATGCACAGCTGCAGCGGGTAGAGGCAGGTCTCCCGAGGCTCGTTCTGCAACATCCTGCCCATTGCCGCGACGTTGCAAGCGGCCGACCGTCTTCCGATCGGCGGAGTGCATTCGCTTGCGACGGCCTCCGCGCGAGAACGGGGGAGCAATCGGGCGCGGCGTGGGATGGAAGCAGGGAGGGGGGGGGGGAAGAGGAGGGGGAGAAGGAT